AATATAAAAGAATTATTTATATTCTCCACTGATATTTGAAGCTTTTCTTTTCTACTGGACCCAGAACAAAGATTTCTTTGAAGATATTCTATTCAGGTATTTGACCCCCTGCAGGCATTTGGCACAGGCTGCTGACTGCAATCATTTCAACATCATCAGCAGTGTCGGCACACAGAAAGGGCAGCTGAGCAATGTACCACTCAAACATAAGACAGAAATAGTTCTTCCAAAACAAGGCTGAATTAAACTATAAGGATTAATCTTTCTTTTTGGAAGAGACATTTGGAGCACCCCTGGTCAAATGACATGTTTTATTGATTGTTTATGAGAAGATAAGAAAAGATGTCCTCTATAGAGAACACACTTCTGCACATATTGGGGAAAAATAAGATATAAAATGTGGCCTTTGTATATTATATATATATATATATGTATATATATATATATATACATATATATATATATATATATATATATATATATATATATATTAGGAGTGCGGGAAAAACTCGATTCTTAGATGCATCGCGATGCGGACGTGAACGATTCTGAATCGATTCATAAATGTCAAAAATCGATTTTCTAAATATTTAATTTATAACGTAATGTTGACGGAGTGCAAAAGGCGGAACTGGAAGTGGGTAAGTGCAGCGCCCGGACAGTCTGTGGCGGCACATAACAAAAACACAACTGGATGAGCGAGAAATCTGACCGGCTCCCTCTGCATTAAAGCCAGGTTAGGTCAGGAGTCACAACGCAAATGATAAGAAGAGACATTTTGCCATTCAGCACAGTCAGACCACCTTGGGAGCCACAACATTTTATGTCCAGTATGTTTCAGTGTGTGTTAATGTCCTAGTATGGGCTAAAAATATAAACGAAAACACTGATTTACTTCGCTCTGCCTTAAGCTTTAGCCGCTTTTCTTCCATCTCCGCCAGAAAACTTTTCTTCAAAACTAGAAGAGTTTCTTGTAAAATGTCTCTCATCGTTCGACTGTTTTACGAGGCTGAAGTCGCTTCTCATTCGCTTCTCGTTCTAATTTTCCTGTTCCATCTTAAATTCTGCCTTAGGCGCCGAATGTAACTGCTGCACCATTTAAGGTGGAACGGGAAAATTCGAAAGAGAAGCGAGTTCATTTTCGCAACTTTTTAGAGAAAGACAGTCTCTCAGCAGATTTAACCAACCGCGCTGCTTATAAATGCGAATAAGTCCTCCAAATGTTCATCTTAATCTGTTTTTTCGTTCGCTACTGGCGAATCCAGATTTCGGGGCTATGTGACCTGCTGTCTGCTGTCTGTTCTCAGTCGTTGAGAACCAGGGCTTTCGCGCTATGCTGCACACTTGGGAACCGAGATTTAGCGTCCAGTCTCGAAAATACCCCCCCCCCTCCCTTCCCAACACACACACACACACACACACACTTTCTCTACAACGAGACGAAAACCGAAGTTATAAAATCACTAAAGAAAACGGGAAGGACGGCTGTAACGTGCTGCGTGGACACCCATCACCACTGGATCTTGTTTCAGGGTAACGGCGCATTTTATCGCAGCAGCGTCTCTGAATGAGAGCCTTCTAGTTCACTTGCCACATCACTTCCATTTGATTTATTAATGAAAGATATTTTAGATATTTGAAGCAAAGTATTTGTAATGATCCATAATGCATTTATATTATGGATCATTACAAATACTTTGCTTTAAAACTACCAAGTCCTCAGGCAGTAGGAAGATGGAAATCCTGTATAGAGAAAAAAGCTGCATCGAGATGCATCAATAATCATTTTATAATCGCATCGCAGCCCTCTGAATCGTAATCGAATCGAATTTGCCTAAAGATTCCCACCACTAATATATATATATATATATATATATATATATATATATATATATATATATATATATATATAAATTTAATATAAACTCAGCAAATAAGTAGAAATTGTTCTTTAAACTTTGCAGAAAAAATGCCTATATTTAAGTGTCCTCCCTGTAGAGGATGTGTTAACATCTTTTCTGCTGCTTATCCTTCTTGGTTGCAGGGGGTGCTGGAGCCTATCCCAGCGTTCATCGAGTTCTAAAGAAACTTACAGACTAAGAATTGTTCACAGAGGTGGTGATAGGAACCAGACATCTGAAGAGTTTAATGCCTCTAAAAGTTACTCACAAAAGTTTATTACATGAAATGATTATAGTATGATGTCTGATGCCTGAGACATTGTTGTACAATAGTTTTAAGAAGTTTTTTTGTATTTTTTTTAAATCCATGGTGGATCTGATACCTATCTGTACCACTGTAAAGAAATCTAAAAAGGCAAATTTCTCTATGATGAAACATTTGACATCAAACCACTCTGAATGACTTTGCCTACATCTCAACTGAATTATGTGGAAATTATGAAAAATCAGTGGAATTCCCCTTTAACCTTAACCACTCATGTCTAACATTAATCTCAGCACCTAAGTAACAGAAAAGAAAGATTCGCTTGTGTTTTTCTTACACTTTCTGCACTTTTTCTCACAGAGACTGGCAATTCATCTGGACAAGGTCACTGCTCTGGCATTTGACTTTCCATGTGTGTACATGGAGTTCCCACAAAGAATAAAAACATGTACTCACATGCTCATACACAAACACAGAGCGATGTTTTTCACTGACACCCTGTTTACGGGCATGGTGTGGAACATTGCTGACATGAGTTCACACGCACATCTTATATTCTGAACATTGACAAGAGGGATCCACCTGCTCCAGAGACGGAAAATGCACTCTGCTGCCAGCCGCCGAGCGAGGGAGACGAGAATAGTGCGGCTGAAAGGTTGTCCACAAGAGGACATGCGGGCAGACATGCGGGCAGACACACTGTCAGACGAGGGAAATAGAGGCAGCAGGCAGACATACAGGCAGATAGGCTATATTAATGTGGCTTTAGTGGTCTTACATATAACTAGTGATATCACAACTAATGTTCAGCCAACGATCCAACTGCTGTCTGATCACCACCATCCTCATTTTTTCTGTTTTATTTTGTACATGCTGAATTAAACATGAAAGGGGTGTCTGTTTTTTTGTTTGTTTGTTTCTTTCTTGTTTTGACACAACTAATACAACTCATCTCTTCATTTGACTAGCAGCATCAGGCATATTAGAGCAAACAGTAAGCTCCCCTTTGTGTGGGAGCTTACACAGGATCTCATCTACAAAATGTGCCTAAAGCAAACAAAATAATAGAATTAATCTGTATTACCAACCTGCCAAAAACACTCAACAATGGTATTCTGAAGTGACCAGTTACAAAGCAATCAGTTTCAGAATAATCTATCTGTTCATAAATTTGAACTATTAATGCCAAATGACTGCTATAAATGAGATTTTAAAAAGACGTTTTTAACTCACTAGATACACAAAGCTGAAACAGCTGAGGGTGCGGCCATGTGGAGAACACTGTTAAGCTAGCCCAATATGTAAAGTAATATTCCAAAAGTTTTTCAAAATGACTGCATAGTTAAATGGTTAAGATGTAAACAGTGTCAATCTGAGTAGTTTGGTGTGAAATTCTCTGTTGTAAAGGAGTCAGTCAGAATTGTTCACAGTGGTGGTGATAGGAACCAGACGTCTGAAGAGTTTAATACCTCTAAAAGCTTCCTCAGAGAAAGATATTAGACCCAATGGTTACAAAGACATTGCCTGATGCCTAAGGCATTGTTTTACAATAGTTTTGGCCTAAAATGTATAATTTAAAAGTACATCCATGGCAGAGACATACATGTAGGGTGTTATCCAGAGAAAACGCTTTTTTGTTGTTGTTTTATTTTACCACTTTTTTTACCATTATTAACATCACAAATAATCTCAGAAGACATGTAGGTTCACTGGTGGTTTGGGATGGTATATAAAATAGTAATATAATATTTGCAATGTGGACATCGCAACCCCTGGTTCCTATCAGGACCACTGTAAAGAAACCAGTGGACAGAGAAATCAGTCAGTAGGTGTCTCTACGATGCATCTCAAGCCACTCTGAATGACTTTACATCTCAATGACTGAATCATGCAGACATCTTTAAAAATCAGTGGAATGCCCCTTTAATACACCCAGCATCTATCAGCGTATGATATTTAGTTTGTTTGGCGCTGTTCTTCTCTTTTTGTGCTGCTTTTAGTCTAAAATGTGTCTTAAAGACTAAGGGGCGACCAATCTATTAATCACTGATTTACTGAAGGAAGGTAAAGCCTCAGTGCTCCTCTGAGGGAGGACGCTTTAATGATCTTCGTGTGCTGTGTTTATGTTCTGCTGCCACCTGCTGTACAGCCTGTTTTAAAGCACTATGTGACTGGAGAGCAGTGGTCACCAAACCTCGTCCTGGAGATCTACTCACTTCCAAACTGCATCTAACATGCTGCCTTCGCCTTACCTAACACTGACTTATGAAGAAGTTAAAGAGCTGGGAGGGTGTGGCAGATTATTATATAGAACCATCTCTATCCTGGTCCTTGCTTTTTTATTTCCCTTTTGCTCCCGTGCGCGCTCTGTATTTTTACTTGACCTCTTTTTAAAGCTCTTTTCTCTCGTTTTCTGTGGGCTATATCGGTACCTCCTTGCTTGTTGTGTTCGACTGTCAAACATAATTTCCACCATTGCTGTTTAATCTTTATCCGTTGCGATGTGTATCTATGCCTTGTCTTGTTTTGAATATTTTCCTTGTTCGTTGTTGGAACTGGACTCTACAGGAAGGTAGATCTCCAGGACTGCGTCCAAAACCACACTCTACTGTACCACACACACTGCACTAACGAATGGACTACTATTGGTGGTGTACTAATTGTGCCATACTATTGAGTGTGGTAGTGTGCGATTTTGGACGCAGCCTTGGCGAGTCTAGCGCTGCTTGTCGCTGATTGGCTGACTGTCGCAGCTGTGAGCTAACAGGCAGAGGACCGACTAATTAATGATGCCTAAAGCGTGTGCGTTCCAGCTGCGTTAAGTTCTGAGTGAAGGACCGTTCGGCTCTGTGTGAAGGAGGACCATGGCGTCGGTGAGAGAGCGGGCAGCAGCGCTGAACCTGGCAGGGAAACTCTACAGCCCCATGCACCGGCCTGGGGGTAAGACCAAGCGCTCAGGACACCAACCGAGTGAACTCCTCGTCATGATAGGAGTTTAAAAAGTTAAATAAGTTGCTGCTATAAATTACATAACATTTTCAGGAATTGAGACTGATATAAATAGATAATGTTAGGTCATCTCTAAACACATTGACAGGTTGATGTTTTACGATTGGCTAACTAGCATGAAAGGTTAAAAGGCAGAGATTTTTTCTCTAGGGGTGGCATATCTGTATCAGTGATATCAGTATTGGGCTGATATCTGCAGAAAGAGCTGGATCGGATACTTGATGGGGGGAGAAAAGAATCTGACACTATTCTGTAACAAATCTAGCCTGAAACAGGGTTCAGTCCTGTGTTTCCAGGTATGTATGCTTACAAAGTCCATTGTTTCTCAGGCCCTGTTTTCCCTCCATCTCCATGTACTTCTGGAAACAGCCCTGTTTTCAAGGCCCTGTATTCCTTGGGTCCCATCTACCCTCACAAAGTTTTCTAGAAAAACATTCATACCTCTGGTATATTTACAGATCTACATATTGTCACTGTCTAAAAACAAACAAACAAATAAACAAAATGGTAAAACATTCTTTACTTTTAATGCAAATGAATGTAATGATATTTTTTCCAAATAATTTTGGAGCATTTCTATTGGTCCTTTCATGAGGAAATTTGACCCAATGTCAGGGACAGCTGCTGTGCTCAAATAAGTTTTTGTTTGTGTTTGTTTTTTGGGTACAGTGAAAGTATTCAGTAAATGTTCAGACAATGTCCAGTAAATAATGTCTGAATTTGCAACAACAACAACTAAGCAGGTGGGTTACCTAATGGTACCTTCACAATACAATTCAGAATCTTTTGTTCTGTAGATCACCGGATGGCTGGTAAACCATTCCAGTCCAGCATCATTTGGAGCAACATCATCGCCCACCTCCAAGCAGAAGTGAAGGTGAAGCGGCGACGTCGCTATCTGAAGTCTCACACTAACTGCTTTCTGGGCTCGGACGCTGTTAACGTGATTGAGACCTACATCAACCAGAACAAGATCTTGGGTGACATTATTGTCCCTAGGGCTAAAGTGGTGCGTGTGTGCCAGGCACTCCTTGACTGTAAGGTGTTTGAAGCAGTTGCTTGTAAAGCATTTGGGAAGGAGAGTAAGCTCTCCGTGTTCCAGGACAGCGACAGCAGCTTGTACCGGTTCCTGGGTGCGAAGAATCCTCCACTGAGCAGTGCTGAGAACTCCCTTCCCTCTTCTACAGAACAGAGTCAAACACACAGCCAGCTGTACAGGTGAACCTCACCTACACTAACCCCACACTGTCCCAAAGCCAATCTGGCAGCTCAGAATATAGATCTGTTCTCATAGTGATGAGTTATGTAAAAACAAACCTTTTGAAAAATGATTGCTGTTTCTTGTATACACACAACAGCTTTAAACTGAGTTATAGAGCTTTATTTGCTTCACTTTCCTGGTCTGTTCCAAAGTGCACACTTGTACTGAAGTGTCCCATTCCTCATACTCACAAGAACACACTAAACAAGTGTGTCCTGCAGTTGAACGCATTGTTGACATTCAGAGAAATCACAAAAACACAAACCAAATTGTTGAGGAATTCCTCTATAATTAAATCATTGGGATGTAAACAGAGTGGTTTGATGTAACGTGAAAATGAGTCTGATTCCTTGATGCTGCTGATAGGAACCAGGGGTTATGATGTTTACTACAGGAAGTCATTCAATTTACTGTCTAAAACAAGCAGTAAATCTGCATGTTTTAAGTTTTTATATGTAATGGTAAAATAATGGTAACCAAATTGTTGAGGAATCATGGACAACTGTGACTAGCTGACCACAAAGACATCACAGTTAAGGAAGATCACAAACCACAAGTGTGGACTCTGGACAGACCATCTCTTATTGCTGTAGGCCACTTTTTGTCAATTTGGAATCAATTTTGAACCTCCTCTCCCAATGTTGCTAACCTCTGGATTACCATACAGGCAGGATGACCCCGTGTTCTTCCATAGTACTCCAGTGAAGGCAGACCACATTATGGACCTCCTCCTTGAGGAGCCTGACCTTAGCCCCAGCTTTCTGCAGACTGAGACATTACCACAGTCAGGTAGCTTTTGGCACACTTTTTGTTCATGCAGGCACAAGGTTGGGCAAGGGTAGTCCTCTCTAAACCATTTTAGCTTTTAGTCTACCACAAAAAAGTAACTACACTGCTTCAGGTTGTAATTCTATTTGTAATTCAAATGTTTATTGCTTCTCTCTCTCCTTCAGTGGTCAGTCAGGTGTGGCAGGAGCAGACAGTTCAGCGGCTTCTACAGCTGATCGAGCTCCCTCTGCTGGATGGAGTGTTGGACTGCAGAGAGTGTGATACTCCTCTATCTGGTGCTGACAATAATACGCCAGACCTTCTCTATACCAGTAACTACCTGGACAGAGAAATACTCAGGGCTTTTAAGGATTCACAGTAGGTTGTAATCACTTTCATGGGATTGGGGTCAGTTATCAGTAAAGACAGGGCATCTGAACTTAAACTTGGCTTCAGTTTTACTGATTTTATTTTTAACCTTCTGATTGCCTTTGAGTTTATTTGGGAGCGGACTGTCCTAGGTTAGAGTAGATGTTCTTTCTGTCCTCCTCTGCAGAAAAGATGAGTGGCTCTCAGCAGCATTAGACCTGCTGGACTTCCTGCCAGACCAGTTGGTGGTTGAGGTGAGCAGGGAGCTGCCCAGCTTTTCGTTGGAAAATGATGAGGGTGATGAAGGCCATGGCCCCTCCACATCCATAGGCATTGAGCAGTGCAAAGCACTACTGTTTGACATTCTGACAAAACACTATGGACAGGCTAATGTCCAGCCTCTCCTCACCAGTGCCTTGAATGATGTTTACACGCAGATTACTGAACTTCTGGGTAAGTTAGCACTGGGGTGACCAAAAACATGGTTTATGGTTATGCTAAACTAGGGCTCATGGGGTGAAATATAATTTGCAGGGATTATATTGGTACATGTGACAGTTGTTTCATGCCTCCCATATATAACACATTGGTGAGCACTGATAGTTTTTATCTATGTATTTTTTTTCCTCTATAATTAAATCATTGGGATGTAAACAGAGTGGTTTGGTGCGACATGCTCCGTTCTGGAGAAATTTGAGTCTGATTCCTTGATGCTGCTGATAGGAACCAGGGGTCATGATGTTTACTACAGAAATAGTCATTCTATTTACTGTCTAAAACAAGCAGTAAATCTGCATGTTTTTATTTGTAATGGTAAAATAATGATAAAGCTGAAATTGCCTTTCAGTGTCCTGCATGTACCTCTCTGCCATGAATGGATTTTTTTTTTTAAATACAGTTTAGGTCAAAATCTCAGAACCATGGTAAAACAGCTTCTGAGGCATTTGCCAGTGTATTTGTACCGAGTCCGTGCAATAACTTTCTGTGAGGGAGCTTTTAGAGGCATCTGGTTCCTGTCACCCACCACTGTGAACAAACCTGAATCAGGAAGTTCCTCTAGAATGGAGCATTTAACGTCAAACCACTCTGAATGACCGTGTTTACATCTTAATGTAAATTAACATTACTTTTAAATAAAACTATTTATTGATTGGATCATTTGAAAGCCTTTATTCATTATAACAGCCAGAAATCAATCATCTGGAACATCCGAGTTGTTTTAGGGTGCTCAGGAAACAAAATCATTTGGTTGTTGGCTCATTTGCATGCTACAGTCTTCTGAGATCAGTATTGCAAGGGGCAGTATTGCGATAATGATTAACAAATCATAATGAATTGACAAAAGCAATTCATAAATGGGTTTCATTAATGCAAAAGCTTTTAAACCTTTTAAACTTTGCTATATTGGTCTTCAGTGTTGAATAATGCATTTTTTAATTCCTGAAAATGTATGTGGCAATCACTACTCTTTCTCTAGTGAATGGGAAGTTTGAGGTAGCTCTAGAGGTGCTGCAGCTGTGTCTGAAGTTGCTTCCTGTGGACAGCAGAGAAGAGCTTTACAGGCTGCTGAGATTCATGTCGCTGGCTGCAGAACCAGTACATGTCCGTCTTCATAAAGAGGTTAGGATGTGTAATGATGTGTGTGATCCTGTTGTGTTTCTGATCATATTTTTTTTTCTTTAGTATAAATGTTATGCCTGGATTGTTATTGATTTTCCTTGTAAAGCTTGTAAAATACTTTGAGACTTTGCTTGTTTTATGAATTGGAGGTTCCAGGCAACTGACAAACCTTGGCTCAGTGTTCAGTTGTGCCTGAAAATGAACAAGATTGCTAAGAAATCTGTAGGAGCTGCATTGAATACTTGAGTACTTTGCATCATATGGCCATGTATTGTCTGTCAGATTATCTGACCTGGGGCCAACAGAGAATGCAGCTGGATGGCCCAGTTGGTTACAAATGTGAAATTAGTCTGGTCCGTTCTAGCATGCTGGACCTTGAGGTGGAGGTGAAAGTAGTTGGTTCTAATGTCAGTTCTCAGCTTTAGTTGTATTTCGTTCTTGTGCTTGATTTAGCTTACATTTCCTTCTTCTTTAAATAATTTTCACTTGTCTTTCAGACTGAAAATCGGATGATGGTAAAGAAGACCTTTTCTAGAGCTGTAATACAAAGCAAGTGTCTTCCGAAGGGCAAAGTGGACCTGCTTCTGCTCTTCATGCTTGATAACTATCAAGAAATCTTCAAGGTAATAAAGACTATATCCCACTGTTATGATTCCCACAAACATATGCTGTGTGCTTAAAATGCACATTCTCAGATTATATTAAAACATTTTAGTTTTACCATGTGGAAATTACAGAACTTTTTATACACAGCACTTCCATCACAGGCCTTTAGTTGGTGTGTGGGTGTGTGTGTGTGTGTGTGTGTGTGTGTGTGTATCTTGACAGCAGTAGGCCTACTTTAGAGAGCATTCCTTACATCTCCTCTCCTATTAGACAGTCTTGACTTAGATTTATATCAAGAAATCTCACTTTATACTGTGCTGTCTTTTAATCCTTCATCTTGATTATTGCTGGATGTAGCTTGTGTTGTGTATGTATCGTTGTTTACCAAGCAAGATGAATAATCTTATTAGATTCCAGGTTCTCTGCACAAGCTGGTCAGTGACAAACTGGATGACCTTTTAAGAAAGAAGAACCCCAACACACACAGTATGTTATTTCACAACTAAAAACTGCTGTCATCTCAAATGTATACAGTGTTTGCTTTGGTCATTGTTTAAGCTCTTATTTACCACTTTATTCCATTCCTGAAAATTTCATACAAGTACAGTTATGTTGGCATTGTTTTTGTTCTCTTTCACTTTGTTTCCAGGTTATGCATTCTGTCAGCAAATTTCAAGCAACTTGTATGAGAACACTGTAAAAGAACTGACGAGGAACGAGCTGTTTGTGCTGCTCAGGAATATCGATGAAAACGCAAAGTATTCCACAAAGGAGAAGAACCGTCTGCTGGCACAGTTCCACAAAGGCCATCCTGATGTTTTTGCACAGTATTTTGGGTCTAGACTGAGCACCATCAACTTGTTTGAAGTGTAATTGTCTTTTTGTTTTCCCCTGAACATATGATGTGCTGTGGTGTGTAAACATTTTATGTGTAAAATCAAATAAATGTTTGTAAACTATATTTTGTATATTGAGAGAGCAGGTAATGTAAGCCAGTGACTTAATTTTTACAAATAACACAATAAAAATACCTACCTCCACCTCCTTGCAGTCTCTCACTGTAAGGTTCAAGGGTTCTTTAGTGAAGACAGTGGTTCTATTCAGAACCATGAGTTCTATATAGAACCACTATGCTTATGTGGAGTCTTTGTGTGGTGAAGTGTTTCTTCAGATTGATGAAGAATGTGTTGTATAGGGGTCTTTATAGAACCTTTTTGAAAAGGGTTCTGTTGTTAGTGTCAAGCTTCTAACAATAGACGTACCTTTTTTGGTGCTATATAGAACAATTTTCAAAAAGATCCTATATGAAACATGCATAGAACTACATGAGCATGAAATGGCTCTATATAGAACTCATGGTTCTAGATAGAACCACTGTCTTCACTAAAGGACCCTTGAAGAACCATCTTTTTAAGAGTGTGTGTGTGTGTGTAAGAAAACACGGTCATGCTAAGTTATCATGGTGCACAAGTTCTCTCTGACCTCACCAGTCTGTGTCTGGACTCCTGGTCACTTAAATCAATAATTCAGTGGAAAATCAAATTCCCAGTTCACCCTAAATGCCGTCTGTCAGCCAAGTCGGTCGATAAGAAGTTTGCTTATAGGTTTTTTTATCTGCGGTGCCTTATTGTTGAATTCTTAGCCAGCTGTTCATCCTTCCACTCTTTACGCGTTTCAAACGCTGATTGGCTCGTCCTCAGAACGCTCGCCCAATCAGGGCTCAGTGCGTCGCGTCTGAGCCGCAGTCCGGAAAGTGCTCTCCGCTCTTAGCGGCTGATCTGGGACCTGTTCCTCGTTTGTCTGTCCGCATATGCGGACGAGCTTCTGCGTGAGCCGAGCTTTTCCTAGATCAGCTCTTAGGAGCAGCTGACCGCGTCCTGCTCCTCCAGTCTCCTCCCCGGCGTCCCCCTCCAACATTTACCGCCACACGGACAGACTGGGCTTGTTCATGGTGCGGGGCTTCGAGAGAAAGATGAAGTTCCTGGTAGCGGTGACAGTTATCGTCGGGTCGGTCATTTTCCTGCTCTTCCCGAACGGCTCCGAGGCTGACGAGAAGAAGAAGGGGCCCAAAGTCACGGCCAAGGTAAAGAAACAACGGCGGACCGAGCGGGCCTCTGCAGCGGCGCCGGAGCAGAGCGATGTGTAACACGGCGCTAACACCTCCAGGAGCTGTTAGAAGAGCACAGAGTGACTGATTTAGTTCAGTGTTTATCGGCCCTGGTCCTGAAGGCCCACTGCCCTGCACATTTTTGTGCTTTTCCTGCTTTTACACACTCACCTTTACCCATTAATGGGCTGTTACTGAGCTGATTAGCTGGATCGGGTGTGTTGGGAGCAGGAAAAACACTATAACGTGCAGGGCAGTGGGCCTCCAGGACCAGGGTCGAGAAACACGGATTTAGCTGACATTATGAAGCGTGTGTGCCGCTAACTAGCTTAGCAGTGCACCAGCGCTGTGCTGCGTTAGTAGAGGAATGCGCTCAGAGCTGAGGGCGCAGTGTTTTGTTAAACGAGCTGAAAGCTAAGGCGCCGGTAAAACCAGTCCGCTCGACGGTAGCGATTGCATGCGTTCATCATTCGCAGGTCTGTGTGCTAAAGGTTTATTTGAAGCGGAAATGTGCCGGTTACTCATTTCGTATAAATGTACGGAAGGCGTCTGTGAGATTTGGACGTGTTAATGGTTTGTAATGGCGCATAGGCCACGTCTGCGTTAGCTCCCTCTGTGCGCCATGATGTCCAGGTTCGCCTGGCCCGGCCCTCTGACTGCCGTCAGCATTTCCCACCGGTATTCAGACAAGCCCCGCCTCCTGATTGGATGGCAGGCACTCGTCTCCTGCGCTGCGACTGGCTCGGAGTTCATATTTCAGGCAGTCTGAGCGGAAGAGGGCGGGGTTTGTGTGAATACGGGTAGGAAAAGAACTCTTTTTGTCGTGGAAAAAATCCCCACAGCAGCGCTTCTGCGTTCTCACACATCACCGTCCTGCAGTTATACAACCCGGTGTGTGTGTTTTTGTCAGTCATACTAATAACCAGTGTTTTCTCTCAGGTGTACTTCGACATCCGGATTGGAGATGAGGACGTGGGCCGCATTGTGATCGGCCTGTTCGGAAAAACAGTCCCGAAGACCACAGAGAATTTCGTCGCTCTGGCGACAGGAGAGGTGCAGATTACCGATTACATCATGTACGAGTGAATGAGCATGAACAAACACAAAGACGACGTAGACTTACTGCTCTTGTCTCATCTCAACAGAAAGGATTTGGTTACAAAGGCAGCAAATTTCACCGCGTCATCAAAGACTTCATGATCCAGGGAGGAGACTTCACCAGAGGGGATGGCACTGGGGGTAAGAGTCTCATCCAGAGCGTCACAACGACCTGAGATACTGTGTCTTTAGTGGATGTGTTTGTATATTGTAAACAAGCATCACATTGCCTTTCATTGAATATTACAGAAAAATTCATGTTAATCTATCTTGAATGAGGTTACTTTGTATAGGTGTCTCAGCACCTCTTTACCATTCGCCTTTCAAACACTGTAGGTGTACAGTTTGGGCAGAACACTAGTATTGCATTTATGTTGCTATATACTGCAGTATGTTAAAGTGCATTGGTAAATCCATAATCAGCAACCCATAAAACAATAATTTACTCTTTTGGATTACATCAGTACTCTGATCAAAACAGTGTTCCCAGATGCTCCCTGAAAATAGTGAACATTTTGATTGTTTAGAGCAGCACAGCCCAGTTATTTATTTATTTATTTATTTATTTATTTATTTATTTAGGATAAGGCCAGAAAGTTACCCTAACCCCTCTCCCTCCATCAGTGATAGGTTTTTGTACTATGTATAACTAATTGCTTTCTCGTTTTCCTTTTTAAAATAGTAATTTGAAGTATTTTAGTAATAGAATAGTGTGATGTTTTACAAATGTTTTATAACCTTGATTTGAAATCTACCTATCATTTTGATTTTTGCTTTTTTTTTTTTGGCCTTCAGCCTACCACAGACACTGCAGTTTAGCCCACCAAGGCTAAAGTTTGGGCACCCCTAGTTTAAAGGGCTCATTTGCATATTGCAGCCTACTGCAGTATCAGGAGAAACCAATGTTAAGATAATGATAGCTATATATTGTGCTGCCAGAAACATTTTGTTCTAACTGGCCTTAAAATAGCACCTCTAAATAATAAAGATTACAGCACAAGCATAACCTTGGTCCTCACTAAAGTTTTTTTTTTATTAGGAAAGAGTATCTATGGTGACCGTTTCCCTGATGAGAACTTCAAGCTGAAGCACTACGGCCCAGGCTGGCTGAGCATGGCCAATGCAGGCAAAGACACCAACGGCTCTCAGTTCTTCATCACTACTGTGCAGACACCATGGCTTGATGGCAAGCACGTCGTCTTTGGCAAAATCCTCGAGGGCATGGTGAGTGGGTTTTATTTGAAGGGAGTAGAATTTGGAGAGATTTTCGAATTCAAAAAAAGCCAGCTGTACATCGCTGTAATACTGTGAGGGCATTTTGTCATCTAGCTCAGTGGTAAAAGTGCTGATCTATGACCGTTTTCTTTTGTTGCTGCTATTTATTGCTGTGTATTTGCTGACCTTTTCTACAGGACGTGGTGAGAAAGATTGAGACCACAAAAACAGATGGCAGAGATAAACCTCTTAAAGATGTCAGCATCCATGATTGTGGCAAGATTGAGGTGGAGAAGCCTTTTGCTGTCGCAAAGGAGTAAATCACCCTCAGGGGTGAAGCAGGACTGTGGGTTTCTGGGGATTTGACAGGTGTGCTGTACCACTAGTATTGTAGTGGTGCATGTGTATGTGTTTGGGGCTGTATATCGGGGTCCCTCCTGTTCATCTCTACACCTGTGGCAGTCCGCAGAGCGGCATAGCTTGGGTCCATCTCGAACAAGCATTCCATGTGGTTGGTCAAACTGATTTAACAACTGCTTTTTGTAAACAAATCTCCAATAAAGGATCCAGGTTTTGTTACTCGTTTTGTTTCCCTCACTCTCGATGCCTCCTAAAATCATTAAGGTAAGCACCACAGAACATGGACAGAAACATTCACTCATTTATTTTACAAAGTGTGTAAACAAAATGACCCAAATTTGAAACGCAGCTGTACTGAATGGAGAGCACTGTACATGATTTTTTATTTATATTTTGAGAGAAAAATCTGCTGCACCAAGTTTGGTTTATATCAAAAGTCAAATGTCAGCCACACACAAACCACTGGTGAGATCTCAGGCTATCTAAGACTTACTCCCTGTATAAGTGCAGTATTCTGAACACTCTCTGGTATTTGGTGCACAGTATTGATTTCAAAAGGGTCACTTCAAATAAACCAATACTGATTAATTTAGACCTCACTGTGAAAGTGTCATAACTAATCCCAGTCTGTGTGATTCAGTTACTGCAGAGACTCAGATTAGTTACATCGCTGGACTCGTGTGAACAAATGAATCATACAGGACAGCTTACGTCTACTGGTCCATGTGATAGTATGAGCATTCACATGTGTCCTTACAGACATGAACAGAACTAGATCACCTTCAAAACATTTGCGATGTTGAGGGCACGCTCTTCATCTCTTAAGACAGCAGGACACCACAGTTTCCTCAAGGCTCCGAAAGCAAGAAGCATCATGAAAAGTGGTCGTGTGTCAAATCTCTCAGGTCCTCTGTGTCTCTGGCAAAGAGCTTAGGCTGCCTCTGTCTATGATGATGGAGGGGATGGTAGCATGCCTAGGCTGCCGTGGAGCAGGGTTTATGCTGGGTTTGGAACAAGGCTTAAAGCTCACTTTAGTGTCTCTGGGGTAGAGGCCCTGCAGGACACCAGCCACTACCACATCTGGGAGGTCTGTACAAAAAAGTTGAGAATGTCAATTTATTTAATGAATGCATTAAAATGTGATTAACTTGTGATGAACAATCAACACAATTGTTTAATGAAGCACAATTAAGATTTTTTTTTTTGTTGTTTTTTTTTTTTGCAATTTTGACTTTATACTGTTCCAGAATAAGAAATGACAAACCAAACAAGCCCATATGAATGGAAGGATAACATTAAACAGTCGGCCAACAATGACAACTGTCTCCCAAAAATCACAAGTCTCACGATTGTGCTTACAGAATGCTTGGCTGCAGTGCTCCGGTCTTAAATTATTACTAAGTACAAGATAAAAGGGCCATTGATTCATCAGCAGTTCAACGTTCAGTTGACACGTCTGTGACAGAACTCGGCACAGTTTTGGTGATTTTCCTGCTCTTACCACACCAGCTAAACCTGGTCATTAAATTGCTGGGTTGAATCAGCTGTGTTTGAGCAGGAAAATCACCTAACCATGCTGGACTCCTGCCCTCCAGTACTGAAATTCACCAGCCCTGCTTTAGAAATGATTTGAAAATTGTTGCATAGTTGTGATGGTCAGCGTCAAAGGGTCAAACCACACACAACATGCTCCACCAAATGAGTAGGGGCAAGCGGTTCCACCTCCACTGCATGCAATGGCAATGCAGCATCATGACTTCTTTGTTCATTTATAAGGGCCACTTTTTCAGCTTTATGCTGGTACACAACCACAGCCCGAGAAGCCCATACTGTAAGCAGTTTAATGTTTTCTGTTTTGTTTTTCAACAAATGAGCACCTCAATGAGCTGATAAGATTGAATCAGGTGAGTTAACTGTGCAGGCAGTACATAGCTGGCGTTGGGCTGTCTTTCTTAAGATGCTGTTTAAGACTCTGCTATCTACATTTGTTGCATAAGAATGGTATAGACCAGGGGTCGGCAACTCAAACGTTAAGAAGAGCCATTTTGTCCTCTCAACAAAAATCCAACCACCTTGGGAGCCACAACAGTTAATGTCATTTTTATTGAAGTAACGTTTTACCGTCTTGGCTGTAAATATGTCTCAGTATGTGCAAATGTCATAGTATAGGCTAAAAAATATAAACGAAAAAGCAGACTTACTTTGCTCTGCTTTAAGCTTTAGCTATAGCCGCTTTTCTTGCATCTCTGGCAGGAAACTTTTACCCAAAAGTAGAACAGTTTCTTGTAAAATGTCTCTCAATGTTCGATTTTTTCTGAGGCTGAAGTCAGCTTCTAGTTCGAATTTTCCCGTTCCACCTTAAATGGTGCCTTAGGTGTCAGAACTGCTGCACTATTTAAGGTGGAATGGGAAAATTTGAACAAGAAGCTGGCAAATGAGAAGCTGACTTAAGTCTTGCGACTTTTTTAGTGTTTGACAGTTTCTCATTGCAGATTAAACGTATCAGGATACCAGCTGGAGTGCTTATAAATGCAAATCCATTCGTCTCCAAATCATCAATGTCTGTCTTAAATCTTTCTCTTTGCCTTTTCGTAGAGACTGTTGTCTGAGTTGCTGTGTGACCCGCAATCTGTGCGCCGATCTTCAGGGTTAAACGTCGGTGAACTAGCCTCCAGCGTTGAAGACCGTTTATTGTTGAAACTGTGTTGAAACGATCGGCAGAGCTTTTTATTTTACTGCAAAGGAGGATTATTTTAATTTTTACCTAAAAATCTACTTTGGCTGTGGAGCCGCGAGCAAAGACCCGCATGTTGCCGACCCCTGATATAGAATGACAGGTAAAATATGTAGAACTAGACATGCAGAGCTGCTCACTACTGTAAAAACTAAAGTAGCTGTCCACAACAAAACTGAAGAGAAATGCTGTTTTGATGGTACAGGGACACTCAGTGATAAACAATGCCAAGAAAGATGTCTAATGTTTATGATAATAATGTATATGTTACCTGAGTCTGATGCGAGGAGATAGGGGTCAACTGAGAAGCCCACCACTCTCTGATGCAGTAGCTGACAGCTGCAAGAAAGAAAGACTTCTACTAGTGAACCAAACTTTGAACTACTGGATAATAGAGTCCAACAATTTAGCAAATTGTAGTTGATGAGCACAAATGGAGGAATCAATCTCTTTATGTGTGAAGTCCACTCTGGTCCATAAATAGTGGCACCCTTGATTAAAATGAGCACAGATAAAAGGGAGGAAGAGAAGAGGTCTACTATATAAAAATGAAGCTTTGAACTGCTAATGATGTCTAACAATGTACCAAATTGCACTTAGTGGAGACAAATGGAGGAATCAAGCTCTGTATGTGTTAAGTACAGTGTGATTACTTACACCCATGAAGAAAATGAGATAAAGAAGCTCATTTTCAAGAACCTGTTTGTAATATGTATGAAACATTTTCTCTTTAATTCAAACTGATTTCACCTTCTACTCACAGGAGAGACTAATGTAGACTAACAACTGAAGTGTATTAGGTTATTTTAGCTACCCATGAGCCATGGGTGTTAAATTACATAAGTAGTGATATAAGAGGTACTACAAGGACGTAAGGGGACACAATCAGCACCGCCCACCGAATTACGGACCCAAGAATGATTGTCCTGCATTGCAGGTAGCCAGGGCAAACACTGCTCTGACATAGCTCTTTCATTTAGAGAACTACTTATGTCCTCATTTTTATATATAGGAGTTGTCATTTCGGAATCACAATCTAAGGCTATATCTATGCTATGTCTCATGTTTTTGTCCTAGTACTTGGTGGAATTCATATTTTGCTGCTTATCTTAACAATAGCCAAATGCAAAAAAACTGCAGATAGTAACTGGCACCATGTATGAGGTCCTTTTTCCTTTCATGAATCCCAGTTTTTACACCAAAAGTTCTATTTTTGTGCTCGTCCAGCCATGCTACTCAGTTCCTGTCAACATTTTAATGACAGCAAGCAAACTCCAGGCATGTGATTTTGCTGCAGGTATGCTCTCATTAAGAGTTGTCCTTGTGCAACCCTTGCCACTCTTTCACTGGTTTTATAATTGGTGTCTTGTGGCAGATTTTGAAACTTTGTGACCTAAATACACACCTAAACTAAAATTAATCTTCTTCCTGGTTTAAAGCTGTTACTGATATATAAAACATTTTCATCATACTTTCATCATACTATTTGTTTAGCGGTATGTGCTATGTTTCTGCTTTGTTTATCTCTTTATTTGACCGTCCTTTGGCTCTTGGTGAAAGATGACAAATGGGATTTTACACGTTTTTACTACCATTAAATGAAGCGAAAATGGAAAAGGAAGGCAAAATACAGTTTTTGTAAAGAATGCGATTTACTTAAATGAGCAGAACTGTATTCCAGGTAAAGATAAGAGGGTAAGAAGCCCCTCTGGTGAAACTTGCATCAATGCATCTATGTTTTACAGAATGTATACTTTGTTTCAAATCATTTCTAGTCTTTTTCAAAAGTATAAAACGAAAAAGTATATTTTCAAATTAAATTATCAGTTTATGTCTTATCGAATTTACTTCTTTTTAATAAGCTATTGCAAAAGACAAATAAGAGTAACATAAAAAAATCTGAATTTTTGTTTATTATTAGCTAAACTCTGTCTTAGATGAAAATCTAAATAATATTTTGTTGATTTTCAAAGTGAAAATAAGTTAACACATCCTCTACAGAGAACACACTTAAATAGAGTATTTTTCTGCAAATTTTAGTGCACAATCTGTTTATAATCTGTTTATTTTGAGTTTAATATATTGGGAAAAAAATCAACATCAAATATAAAATGTGACAACTTTTGTAAGGCTATATGGTTTTTTTTATAAACGGCAATTGTGCAAAATGTGCAAAAGTGTGTTCTCTGTAGAGGATGTAGAACGTTTCACTCAGAAAATCAACAAAACTTAAAATTTAACCAAAGGTGCCCAAAGATATGAATATAACTATATTGTGCAAAAGTTTTAGGCACATTAGAAAATTAGAAAATTTATCTAGGCAACACGTGATTATTTGCTCTAAAAAAAACACTAATATTAGAATAAATAACAATAACAATAATACATTTATAATAATAATAATTACATTAAAAATTAATGACTTTATGTGTTTTTGTTTAACCGTATCCAAACTTCTCCTCATGGAAGCCCAGTATTCATATAGTTATCATCCAATACCTGGTGACTATTTAATACTTCATTATGTTAAATGGAAAAGAAAAATTAAATGTTCAGTGTTCAGGAGAAATCTGGAAATAAACTTCTAATTAGAACTATCTTGAAAACAAGACATTCTTGTTACTTTTTACTGCATTTATGTTTATTTCCATTTACTTTAAAACTATATTGTGTTCAGTGCTCACTGGTTTTGTCTTTTAACAATACAAATTGTCAAAATTACAATGTTTTGTTCTGACAGCAACAATATATTTAGTGTAGGATTATATCTAAAAGCATGTGACAGATATAAAATAGAGCTTACTAATTCTGCACCTCTCTCTACGTATCAACATGAGTAATGAAACTACATCCTGCATGTAAAAAAACTGAACTCAAGAAGACTCTCACCTGTACCCCTGTTCTTGAGAGTCGTTCCATTCTTCTTCACTAAAAGAAAAAAATCATGGCATGTGAATTACTGTATGTTTGAAGTGACAAAATCTGATGACAGCATTTCTGTCCACTGGTAGGTACAGTACATACTGGAAACTGCAGATCTTGTTTGCTGAATGGAAGTGTTTCACCTGAAGGAAATCCAGCAACTCCTGGGGAACCACTTCATTCTGATACAGGATTACCTACATGGAGAAAAGAGCACTAAAACATAACGTCTTGACTGTATACTACAGAGGTAAAGGAAGCAGTTAAGGAAGGTATGGTGTGATCCCTGTTGTACCTGTATGTAATCCTCCAGCTCCTGCCGTCTCTGCTCCAGTGGTTTGGTGCGCAAGTGCTGGTTCCTCTTGCTGGGGAAATCAGGCGGCTGCACAATCTTCTTGAGCTTCCGGTGTAATGTCTGGAACTCACTCTGCCGCCGCAGAACAAAGTGTTTCCTTCCATTGAACAAAATCTCCACCCTGAAGAGCTACAATAAATATAGAAAGCAAACAACAGGTCAAAACAAGTGGAAGAATAAACATATACCATGACTGTCCATTTTGAGGGAAGACCAAAACTGAGAAGTGTGCCCTCTACTGAACTGATTTGGTTATGACCACCTCGAAATCTAACCTGAAGTACAGTAAACAATACAACCATAAAAAACATCTGCATGATGAAGTTAATGACATACAATGAATGCTTCAAATTGTCTCTTTGATATTTCAAAAGAAGTCAAACTTCTTGTTTTTTAAGGTGATGACCAGTCAGGCTACTTTGAATGGGATGATGAGGCAGCTTCACAGCAGAAAATGTAAAACAAGCTACTTCACGCCCAGAGTATTACAGCACAGGTTAGCAACAAGCCCTGCGGCACCTGGACTCACCTTTCCCATTGTACATGACCTAAAGAAAAAGAGCTTAATGAGTTTTTTGTGCCTGGTTTGAAACCTTACCAGCTATGGCTCACCAGTGTTCCCTTCTATCTGGTACCTACAGAATTCTACAGACTATTTTCTGAACAGAGAAGAGGAACAAGGCCTACAGCTGCTTGATACAAATAGAAACCTGAAATGTTTCAGACCCGTTTATTATAGTGTATACTGGGTAGCATTTCAAATTGTAACCAAAATGTTTAATAATGATACTATGAAGCGAGCATAAAAGCCAAAAAAGAATCGCATTTCAGGCTCGTAAACACATTTGCAGTTGTGGACATTGGAGTCATGTTTGGGTTCCAGTAATAGCTGGCAGAGATTTTATGTCCTTGAAGTCTTCGCTGACTTACACTGGAACTTATGGTACACTGTGAATAAACATTAAGGTGGCCAAACTTTTTTTCATTATTTAGTAACTTGTTTGCACAGCTTTTTTGAGTTTATTCAACTTTTTGGACTTAAAAATCAACACTGACAAACAGTGGGCCAAACTGCTTAAGTTAGTTTGACACTTCTTTACGTTAACTTAATTTACACTGGGTTCTAAAACTAAAAAATGGTTATTCTTCTAATTACTAATAAATTTCAAGTTTCACCATTTCACAAGTTTCACAATTTTCCACCATATCTTTTAATGACACTGGGCCAGGACTGGCCTGATTCTGGTAACTTAAAAAATTTAAATTGTGATTATTACTTGCGCAAAAATAACTATTATTTATTTTCTAATTACATAACGTTCATCCTATAATTAAAAATACATTGAAACATTTTATTTGGAAATTATTTTTCTTCACAACCAATTACTTTTTGCATATGTCTAAACTGCTTTCTTTATTAATCAAAAGCACAGCTCAATCACAGATCAATCAAAAGCGTTTACTCAGATGTAACATTAATTCAGGCAGAGCATAGCAAAAGATTCAAACAAGCTTATAAGAAAACCAACTTGTTCTTTCTCAACACTTTCCTCAATAATTTAAGGTAAAAAGAACAATACCACTCACAAGAGATCAGGCAAGCCCAATCCCAGTGTAGACAGTACAACATAGGTGAACGCAGCTGAGCAATCAACTTCCACAGGTTTAAAAAATAATGTGCATTATCATGTATGAAGCCTCTTTGTACTGTATCATGTCTTGTAAAGTTAACAATTCTTAAAGCTCACCTGTGTTCATCTGTATGCATGTCTGAACTGATTACACCAGAAGTCAAACTATACAAAATTTGCACACAACTCAGACACACAGTTGGAATAGAAAATACAATCAACAAAATCATAAACAGTTAAAATGGTGTTTACAAAACAACTGTCATACTCAGTACATCATCGTGCTTATATGTATAAACCATCTTGTATCTACCTTGTATCTACACTCATTTTCCATAAAATCAGGTCCACTTAATATATAGGTGCACTTTGTAGTTCTGCAATTGGAGACTGTAGTTGATCTGCTTCTCTACATAACTTGTTAAGCCAATTCCACCCTGTTCATCAGAGATCAGGACCCCTACAGGACCACCACAGCGCAGGTATTATTACTTTTAGAATTTCATTCTCAGCACTGCAGTGGTGCTGACATGGTTGTGTATATGGTACTGGTAGTAGTTTGTCAGACATAGCAATGTTTTTAAACACCTCAGTGTCACTGCTGGACTGAGAATAATTCACCAACCAAAAATATCCAGCCAACAGCGTCCTGTGACCACTGATGAAGGACGAGTGGATAACTGACACAAACTGTGCAGCAACAGATAAGCTATCATCTTTAACTTTATATCTACAAGGTGGCCAGAAGGTAGGAGTGTCTAATAGAGTGGACAGTGAGTGGACAGTGTTTAAAAAGCTCCAGCAGCACTGCTGTGTCTGATCCACTCATACCAGCACAACACACACTAACACACCCCCACCACATCAGTGTCACTGCAGTGCTGAGAATGATCCACCACCCAAATAATACCTGCTCTGTGGCGGTCCTGGGGGGTCCTGACCATTGAAGAACAGGGTGAAAGGGGGCTAAGAAAGTACACAGCAAAACAGATGGACTACAATCTGTAAGTTAGGTGGACTTTAAAAAATGACCAGTGAGTGTATATGTAGAGTATGTGTGGGAAAGAGAGAGACAGCAAGAGAATGAGAATAACCTCTACCCTATAATGCTAAATATACTCAGCGCTTAACAGATGTAGACGTCTCTGGTCAATTTCTTTTTCACTTGCAGCGTGTGAATGTGGATTCTTCATTACTGCATCTAAAATGAAGAAAAACGTAAGAAAAATTACTAATAAAACATTCACCAGACAAAACATAAGGATGCAAATAATCCTGAGAAAATAGCAGACAGTATGAAAATAATAATAAATCTACAAAGCAATAACAAAAAAGAGAGGTATGTGCAATAGAATACAAAAATGAGCAGGTTTTGTGAATAACAATGTACTGTGTTTTTTTTCTCACAGTAACACAGAACCTTGAAAGCCATATCACTTTTATACATTAGTTTTGCGAAATAAAAAACAAAGCAAAGCAGGTGAGCCACTGTTTCAAATACAGGTTAAAATTTATGACATTGGCAATGTCTAATGCTAGAAAATGTAGTAAAATGTATTTTGAAATATGGATTTATATTACAAAGAGCAATTCTATACTACAAATGAAAGTACCTGGGACAAGCTGTAAGAGGCCCAGGAGCAGCAGATGGACGGCTGTAGGAAGACAAAACATTTAGGAAAGGTTTAAAATACTAATTTCAACATTTGAAACAGATACAGGCACATTTATGTTGACTGCTTTTGTTTAAGCACCCAAGCCTCACAAATCCAGTAAAGATGTTGCTTGTATACTTATACAGAAATACTTTTCTCCCTGGCCTCTTTTGGGTTTAGGTTGTCAGCAAGGAGCAGGGTGGACAAAGTACACAATTTCTTATTTGTTGTGTAAGACAATTGTTACTTATTTGAATAAAATCAGAAACACTCTTGGTTAAATATTAGTTAAATAAAGGTAGTCAATCAACATTTGAACGTATTTGCTTTTAAAAGTAAGGAGACTTGTGTGGCCACAGACATGAACAGTTAACTCTAATGCCTGCAGCCAAATAGGCCTCCTTTACAGAGAGTAAATAAAAAATCATGAATTTTGAAAATAAATAAACAATAATACTGTGTCTAGTAGGGGTGGGAATCTTTACGCACCTCACGATTCGATTCGATTACGATTCGGAGGGCTGCAATGCGATTATAAAACGATTATCGATGCATCTTTTTTTCTATACAGCATTTATATTTTCTTACTGTCTGAGGACTTGGTAATGTTAAAGCAAAGTATCTGTAATAATCCATAATGAATTTACTTACAATGTCTTTTATTAATAAATCAAATGGAAGTGATGTGGCAAGTGAACTGGAAGGCTCTCATTCAGTGCTCTTGCTTGGAGCACATGAGAAGCTGCTGCCACTCATCTGTGATAAAATGCGCAGTTACAGTGAAATAAGATCCAGTGTCAGTGGATGACCACGCAGCACATGTTACAGCTATTCTACCCGTTTTCTTTAGTGATTTTATAACTTTGGTTTTGGTCTCGTGGTAGAGAGTTGGGGGATCGCTGTGTCAGTAAAGTATCTTTGAGACGGGTCGTGTGCAACATAGCGCGAAAGCCCTGTTTCACAATGACTGAGAACCGGCGTGCAGATTGCAGGTCACATAGCAGCGATGCGTTATTCGCATTTATAAGCAGTGCAGTTGGTTTATTTGCAAGCTAAATCTGCAATGAGAGATTGTCAAACACTAAAAAGTTGCTAAGATTAAGTCTCTTCTCTTTCAGATCTTCCCGTTCCACCTTAAATGGTGCCGCATTTACATTCGGCACCTCAGTCAGAATTTAAGGTGGAACTGGAAAATTCGAACAAGAAGCTGGAGCGACTTAAAGAAGCGACTTCAGCCTCGTAAAACAGCCGAACTTTGAGAGACATTTTACAAGAAACTGATCTACTTCAGAGGAAAAGTTTTCTGTAGGAGATGGAAGGAAAGCGGCTATAAGCGGCTTAAAGCAGAGCGAAGCAAGTCTGCGCTCTCGTTTATATTGTTTAGTCTATACTAGGACATTAACACATACTGAGACATACTGGACATTAAATGTTGTGGCTCCCAAGCTGGTTTGATTTTTGTTGAAAGGACAAAATGGCTCTTCTTATCATTTGTGTTGTGACTCCTGACCTAACCTGGCTTTAATGCAGAGGGAGCCGGTCGGATTTCTCGATCATCTATTTGTGTTTTTGTTATGTGCCGACACAGACTGTCCGGGTGCTGCACTTCCGCACTTCCAGGTTCTGCCTTTTGCTTTCCGTCAACATTACGTTATAAATTAAATATTCAGAAAATCGATTTTTGACATTTGTGAATCAATACAGAATCGTTCACGTCCGCATCGCGATGCATCTAAGAATCTATTTTTTCCCGCACCCCTAGTGTCTACATTGACTTTAAAAGCAAAACCTTTTGTAAGTAAAAACATAAACAGAATACTTTTACTTTACATTGTAAATAATG